GGTGAATTCATCCAAATCTTTTTGCGTAAAACAGCAAAGAGCTGAGGAGGTCCTGACTGAATGAGTTGGACTCCAACTTATCAGGAACTGGAAGTTGTCTCTTGACCCGTTTTCTACATCAGTGGTTCCAAAACTATTCAGTTTAGCTGCAATAAGTTTTTGGAAGGTTTATTTCAAAACTACAAAGAGGATTAGGACACAGTGCAATATATATATTTTAATTGAATTCTGACTTTAATCTTAGACATCTGAGAGGGGAAAAGTCAGAATTAAGATTTTTTTTTCTCTCAGAACTCTGAATTTCATTTGAGAATATCAGAATTCTGAGATTAAAGTTATGATTTTAACTTTGACTTTTTTCCCCAGAATTCTGAGATTTAAGTCAAAACTCTGAGAAAAATCAGTCGGATTTCAGAATTTTTCTCAAAATTAAAAAAAAAAAAAAAAGTAAGAGTACAGAGCTTTTATTTTGAATAATTCAGACTTCACCTTAAAATGTCAGAATTCTGAGATTAAAGTCAGAATTGTAAAATAGAAATCCATTTTTTTTTCTCCCATGGCCCTAATCTTCCATACAAAAAAAAAATCACTTGAAAAAACTTTTAATCTATTTCAAGTGAAGTGAAGCCAAGATCAGGTGATTTAAATAACTAAGTATTTTAAAATCCAAAATTATGGATTTATTAATCTCTCAATTTACACTGAATGTGAAAAGTCACAAAACATGTAATCATTTTATTGTTTTTAAATATTGATATAAAACTTTTAGCTAATTTAATAATGTGCCACCTTCTTTGCAGCACAGAGGAATATTCACATATGTTTTTAATAATTTATTTATTCAGTCAACAGTTGAGTTTGTTAAATCATTGTCATAAAGAGGAACTTACATCATGTCAAATGTTACTAAACCAAATGATCTTTGGTGTTTTGCTTCTATAAAATATGAATCTTTAGTTTATTAGGTTGTTTAGATAAACCTCTCTGTGCCTACAAGATAATCAAGTTCACTTTTGTCAAATACTTCAAAGTTCTCTCTTATAATTTATATGTTCAAAAAAAGTAGAATAAAATTATGTTTTTCTTCAAGATGCAAGTTCACAAAATTTTTATCTCACTAGCCAAATGAGAGATTTTTAGGTCTTGAACTTTAATTTAGGAGCTACATGTTCTAGAGATAAGCCTCTGCAGTCCTTACAGACAGATAAACAAACAAACAAACAAACAACAACCATATAAAAACATCAAAACAATTGAAAGTTCCTGGAGAAACCCGACAGGGACTGGCACGTTGCAGCATTTGTGTGTTGTGGTTCGCTCTCATTACACCAAATTTCAGCTCCATATAGCAAAAAAAATAAATAAAATAAAATAAATGACTTATTTTTTAAACTATGGTAGCCATCTTGGATTTTTTAAATTTAGATTCTGTAAGTGATGGGGCTCGTTCACCAAAGTTCAGCTCTATATGTGGAACAATAGCAGAGTTAAAGCCTTTTAATTTCAGCTTTGGTGGCCATCTTGAATGTTTTATTTGAAATCA